GCTTCTGTGCCAACCGCCTGTCAGATGTAAGTGGCTTTCTGTGGGTTTTGGACAAATGGAACAGAATGGGATAAGCATGTCATAACATGTCATAGAAGTGTCATAGCAATAAGTCCAAACTCATGGAGCTGTTTGTTATGCCGTGCTTGTTGATCTCCATATTGGATTACCGGTGACTGGTGCTCCGCTGCAACTGACCGCACGTGTGCAAACACCATTGGTGGTGCTCCTCACTCAGACTGGCCGCAAGAAACAGCTCAACCATCAGTTTTTACGTACGTAGTATCGACCTGCTTTCCCCGTGGAACATAGCCATCGACCGTCCGGCGATCCCCGAGGCTACAAACCCTATCCCCTGCAAGTTGGTGCGCCTCCTTGACACAGGTCCTGACAGTCTCCTCACAATGTTCTCCATATGGGGCAAGGAAGGTGATATAAAGACTACGGAGACAGAATCCTTCCGTCTTCTACGGCTGCCACAAGGGTGTGATGGTGTAGTCACAGGACAAATGCTTCACACGGAGTTCCCTGAGGAAGTCCAAGACATGTCCAAGGTCATAGCACAGGTGCCTGTTCAGTTTTAGATGTGTCAGTCAAACTGGAAAGCTGCTTCGAAATCCACATGGAAATCATTTCCAGACCAACTACTATAAAAGATACTAAAGCATCTGAAAGCCTTCTCCAACCCAAAAAAGGACGCCCGCCCGTCTTCCGCCTCGAGGTCTGCCATTGGTTTCTCTAGGGCTTTCTGGCAACCGGCCTCAGCAACAACGCCGTTGCAGGTGCTGACGTTGAACCGGCTGACGCTGACGGCCTCGACACCGGTACCTCGCTTCATCTCCTGGCAGACCCCGAGAACATGTCCTGAGAATCCCCGGGAAAGTTATGGAAAGTTCATGTCCATTTGAGCTCTATGGCATTATGGCATTCTATGGCACTCTATGGAGTCATTCGCAGAGCTTGGGGTGATACCCAGACTAGCTATTGCAGCTACCACAGGCTTTCTAGCCTGCATAAAAACGTCAACATTTCTGTCTTCTAGACACTTCCGGCTTCAAGAGATCATTTTCACAGAATTTCACAGACCTATAAAGCCGAGAGTACCCAAGAAAGAAACCTGTCAAGGCAAAGCAAGTCCATTGCATCCCGGATGTATCATGGTCATTTCATGGTCATTTCATGGTCATTTCATGGTCCACATGTCCTGCAAGACCAAGTCAAAGCGAGGCTCAATCCCTGCCATGAAGCGCTCTGTCGCTTCCTCTGCTGCACTTCCTGAAGAGTTGACACAAGTTGACAAGTTGACACACTAAGCAACTCACTTCACTCAATCGACGTCCTGAAACCCAAATGTTAAGCTTAAATGATCTTAAATGTGAATTGTATTGAATTCTTGTGAATTGCCCACAATATCCATCATTGCCCAACGGCCCAACCTGTGATTCACCCCTGGCTGTTCTCTAAGCCTCACAGTGACGTGACCAAAGTCTGCATCCAGGTCACTGGCAGCCGCTTTGGAGGTAGCTCTCTGCTGAGCAGCCTCTTTCGACAAAGTGGCAGCCATCATCAGACCATGCATCTGTCATCACTCCATTCATCTCCATAAGACGTTATATATCGTTATAAGTTATATACCTTATGTCAAGTTGAAGTCATCTCACAAAATCTGTCCAAGTACTTCGCAAAATAATGTTTCGCGATGTTTCGCGTTATCTTTCGATTCATCAAACCTGAGAGGGAAAGCTGGGAAACTCTTGCCAATCGGCCCATGGGGCTAATGAAAACGACGAGTTTTCCATTCTGCTGTATCGTGCCTCACCGCCAGTTCGAGAGAATGACTTTAACTTCTCCTTGCTCAAAGCAAACGCTTAGGATTGAGTCTGTTCATTTCTCTAAGAAACACGGGTTTCTCAACTCTCTCCTACAGAAGGGAGCACGTTTGCAGAAACTCGCTCACACAAATGTTCTGACGTCTTGATGTACGTGTTCTACGTAATTCTTGCAAATTGCCCAGTGATCCAAGAAAATAAGAAGTTGAATTTCAAGTTGATGCTGCCTGACCACAATCCAACTTCAGTCCCTGCCAATTGATGATATAGCCAGTCAGCTTCCATCATGAAGAGCTCTAAACTAGTCCCTGCATGTTCCTACCAGCTGTACCTTGTACATTCCATGCTTTCACCTTGACCCCTAAGGCCCTACCAGCTGTTCCAGCAGTGGCACGGGGCAGCGCGGGCAACAAGGGCCACACCGTCGCCTCCAGCATGGTGTCCAAGCGAGTCGCCATCTTTTCCACCAGCTGTTCTCCCACCTCCTGAGGGTTTAGATTTCCACAGGACAAGGTGTGGCAAAATCGATGAAGACTTTGTAGCGATTCTGGCAAGCTGCTTCAAAACTCAAACACCCTATGTTTATCCATGTTTCTTGGCCAGCTAGGCAAGGAAGTATCTCTGAGATTCTCTGAGTGTCTTTACAACCACAAGGTTGCCTACCCCAATGTCACCATTAAAGGCCAAATGCCAAATCAAATGTCTTCACACCATTACAGTAGTCTGGTTAGCATGGAATCTATGTCAGCCGCTATTCAGAGATATTCAGAAAACCTCGAATTCCGGTGATCTGATCTTCAAAGACGCTTGAACGCGAACAGATTGAAGACTAAACCCAAGCATGCCACAACTGGACTCCTCCCAAAGTTGTCCAGACATCTCCTCGATCCCATGTGAGCACAGTATGTGACGCATGGGAAAATCTAGGAATGTGGGAGCTGAGAGTCAAGGGAGAGTCAAATACTCTGAGAACATCAATGTGGGAACACGGAAAGGCTACGATTTGGTAAAAAGTGTCACGCCACTCCAGTCCGAAAGGATCCGAAAGGAACCGAAAGGATCCGAAAGGATCCAATTTGGGAAGGCTGACGGTTGACTATCTAATCTAAGGTACATCCCATCAGCCTCCAGGAGCTTGGTTTGTTGCCGCAGGCTCGTGACCTGCCGCCAAAGTGTCACCATACTAAAGGCGTGTGCTGTTTTTTATTGGCAGCACGCACAAAGAAAAAGGTAGTGTATCCAATTACTTACAATGCCTAGAAATGAGTTGAATCTGTCGGGCTGAGGGATCCTCAAGTTTGAAAGGGACTTGAACAAACCAATCAAAAGGATTCAAAAGGACCTTGGTCACACAAAATTGCATTTTCCAACACAAATAATCTGCAGACACGCGGTGTGGCGTGTTCTTTGAAGCGGATTGTAGCGCAAAGCAGTCGTCAAGACTGCAGCTTTCCTGCTATGCAGAACATACCAAGACGAAGACGCTTCATCGAAGATATCGTTGGGACCTGCCTCTCTGTCCAAGGTTGTCCATCGCTCATCCTGCCGTGCGCAGTGAAGTGCAGAAAAATTCAGCGGAACGTCTCAGTTGATACCTGGCTTGGAGCTGCTTTGTTGCAGCTCCAGGAAAGAAGAACTTCTCTCATGAGCTTGCCATGTCCTCTATGATTGATGTCATCTGTGACCTAATGTATGACACTATTTTGGCATTGTATGTATGCGAGTGGTGTTATGTGGCCTGTGAATTTGACCTTGTGTCGGTAGAGACCCCTCATCCCATCCCCACCTCGCTCTTCCATCTGCCTTCAAACACCTTTTGCTGCGCCTGCGAGGGAATCACAACATGTGAGTAGGCCGGGATTTAAAAAAACGCTGGGTAGGATGATGTCGGATGCACCTCCAAGTTGGAATGCAACAATCGAACCACCTGACAGCGTCTGACAGCGTCTGACAGCGTCTGACAGCGTCTGACAGCATCTGACAGCGTCAATTCAAGGAGCCAGAACCTAATGGCCTCAACGCATTCAACTCACTGTGTAAACCACAAGCTTAGTTACTTGCACTGGAGGGCAAGAGCAACCCCATTGACAGGCTAAAGTGCACTGTCTTCGTGTCAGGTCTCCATAGGATCATGGTCTCATCTCTCGACTTCTCGCGACATCTCTCACATCTGCCTCCTCACGATTCTGCTTGAAGGCTCGAGATGCTGCATCGGCAGCTACCTGCCAAACTGTCACTTGGCATGGTGCCATGCAGCTACACGGATGGGACGGCCAGCAAAACGCAGCCCAAACTCTACTTCTCCAAAGCTTAAGAGTAAACGCAGCAAATACGATCAAACAATATCAAACATATCAACATAATTCAACATATATCAACATCATCCATCTGTATGCGCAATGCGCTGGGCCTTTGCCAATTCAATGGGATGCTCCTGACATGTCTTGCAAAAACGGGTTTGCGATGCAGCAGGGTGGGCCACTTGGGCCACTGTTCATCTCAACTTCGCCAAAGTGCAACTACCCTCCGCAGGTCCTGACGCTTGGTACCCATTAAGCTTTGAACCTCCTTTGTCAGATCCACCTAAAGCAGCATTTCCACGGATCTCACATGATCTCACAAAGGAACCACAAAATCAAGGATCACAGGACAGCAGAACAACAAAATGCATCATGTCCAAGTACAAGGATCAACAGAACAGACATGAACAAACAGACAGTCATAGAATCATAGAATGGCTTGATCGCCCCTCCTGTAAACCAGTCAGCTCCCTGAGATGACTACCACACAGCCGCGGAGCTTCGTAAACTCCTTGCTACTCAACCTAAACAGGCGAACTTTGGAGTACTTTGGGTGCCAGTCATGACGGTCATGCCTTTTCTGCGTTGTGGTTCGCTGGACCCGGGGAGACACGGTAGACACAGTAGACTCCTGCCTTACTTACCCTTCTCCTTAGCTCATGCTATGCTCAGCTATGCTCAGCTTCCCTGCTGATCCAACGCCGCTTGTCTCAAAGAGCTGTTGAGTCTCAGAAGCTCCTCTCAAGGGATGCCACAGGCCACGGGGACGTGATGGGGATGCAGAAAGATATGGAAGTCTTGAATAAGTTCGCTATTGATAGGTGATGTCTGCTACTGTCTGTTAAGAGTGTTTATTCAGTGTTGTTTGATTTTATTCTATCAAGAGCCATTCTGCTAGTAAGGGCGGCAACCAGGAAATCGATTTGCTGAAAGAGTTAGTAGCCAGGGATTCAAACGCCGTGGGTGCCAGATCTGAGTGCTGAATCTGAGTACATTCCTTTTGCTCTTGAACCAGTTCAAACATGTTCAAACCAATCGAAGCCAACTGTGCAGCTGTCCCATTTTGCGGCCCGCCCCAAGCCTCCACATGGCTTCGCAAGCTCTCGGTCTCAGCTTGATCCGTCTTTCGCTGCGCCTCGAGCTGCAACAGGAGCTCCTCACCTCAGGACCAGCCAACTTGACAAATCACAAATTATATACAAATTGCAAAAATGTACAATTCACAAAACAATCTATGATATCATGATATCTATGACAATCTACTATGAATATTAATATGAGAATATAATCTAGAAATAATCTATAATATGTATAATAAATATATATATATATATTATCTATTTATTTATTTGTTTATTTATTGTTTATTTATTTACTGGGACAGCTAGGCCATAGCCTTCAGTGTGTCATGTCGAGCCCGGGTTCGATCCAACGGAATGCGACCAAGCTGCCAAAACCCAACTGAGGGTCGATGCCACGAGTATCACCTCGTTCCCCTGGTATCCCTGGCGCGACTTGGCCCTGATGGCCCTGATGGCCCTGTTCCCTTCCGTCCTTCCGACTCTTCACCGCTACAGCACACGCAACATGGATCAAAATGATTTGACATGGATCGGAATCAATATTGTCAACAATCAAGATGATGTAGCATGATGTAAGTAACATGATGCAATATGATACAACATCCATATCCTCCACCCCAAAGATAGGACAGGATCTTGAAGAAACTTGAAGAATATTGAAACATGTTGCATAAGTATGCATAAGTATGCATAAGTCGCATAAGATGTCGGATCGGATGTCGTGCCATGACGCCTCTTCCATCCTGCTCGATGACCTCGCGGAGCTCCTTGACGCAGCGTTGCGCCTCTTCACGGAAGAGTTGACGCCAACGTTCCAAGTCCGACATGATGTACTGCCTCGGCCAAAAATCTTCCCAACTTGGAATCTGACGGAATCTGCCAGCATGTCATACTTAATAATTGCGGCATGTCCCATAAACGTACAAGATAGTAATGGTATGTACTATCAGTAAACTCAGTACAGGCATAGTATAAGCATAATATAAGCATGGTATAAGTTCGAATTAAGATAGTATCCGCCGACCCCGGCCGACGCAAGGGGGAGCGCGTAAGGGAAGAAGATGTACTGCACTGCTACTATTTTGGTCGCAATTTTGATGCTTTTCCGTCCTGCAGGGCCCTGCTGTTTGAGCGTGGCAAAGGCGCCGTTTCTGAGCTTGGAAATTCCCATCCGGGAGCTGTCTTTTGAACAGAAGGAGTAGCAAGAGCAGGAGCAGCAGCAGCAGCAGAAGGAAAAAGTAGCTAAAAAATCATCCTTTTCTATGGGTTTCAGAAATTACATTAGGGAGTTTTTGGTCGCAATTTTGATGCTTTTCCGTCCTTCAGGGCCCTGCTGTTCGAGCGTGGCGGAGGTGCCGTTTCTGAGCTTGGAAAGCTCGAAGACAGCTACTTTTCTTGTCTTTTGAACAGAAGGAGTAGCAAGAGCAGGGGCAGCAGCAGCAGGAGGAAAAAGTAGCTAAAAAATCATCCTTTTCTATGGGTTTCCGAAATTACATTCGGGAGTTTTTGGTCGCAATTTTGATGCTTTTCCGTCCTTGAGGGCCCTGCTGTTTGAGCGTGGCGGAGGCGCCGTTTCTGAGCTTGGAAATTAGGGAGTTTTTGATCGCAATTTTGACGCTTTTCCGTCCTTCACTGCCATGGTGTTTTCCCATCCGGGAGCTGTCTTTTGAACAGAAGGAGCAGCAAGAGCAGGAGCAGCAGCAGCAGAAGGAAAAAGTAGCTAAAAAATAATCCTTTTCTATGGGTTTTTCAGAAGTTGAATTAGGCACTTTTTGGTCGCAATTTGATGCTTTTTCGTTAAATTCAGGGCACACCTGCTGTTTGTGAACGTGGCGGAGGACCGCCGTTTCTGCGTCCGGGAGGCTGTCTTTTGAACGCAGAAAAGAAGCAGCAAGACAGTGAGCAGCAGAAGGAAAAAGTAACTAAAAAATAATCCTTTTCTAAGGGTTTCAGAAGTTACATTAGGCACTTTTTGGTCGCAATTTTGATGCTTTTCCGTCCTTCAGGGCCCTGCTGTTTGAGCGTGGCGGAGGCGCCGTTTCTGAGCTTGGAAATCCAGCAGGGGAGCGTCTTTTGAACAGAAGGAGTAGCAAGAGCAGGAGCAGCAGCAGCAGCAGGAGGAAAAAGTAGCTAAAAAATCATCCTTTTCTATGGGTTTCAGAAATTACATTAGGGAGTGTTTGGTCGCAATTTTGATGCTTTTCCGTCCTTCAGGGCCCTGCTGTTTGAGCGTGGCGGAGGCGCCATTTCTGAGCTTGGAAAGCTCGAAGACGGCTACTTTTCTTGTCTTTTGAACAGAAGGAGTAGCAAGAGCAGGAGCAGCAGCAGCAGCAGGAGGAAAAAGTAGCTAAAATCATCCTTTTCTATGGGTTTCAGAAATTACATTAAGGAGTTTTTGGTCGCAATTTTGATGCTTTTCCGTCCTTCAGGGCCCTGCTGTTTGAGCGTGGCGGAGGCGCCGTGTCTGAGCTTGGAAATTCCCATCCGGGAGCTGTCTTTTGAACAGAAGGAGTAGCAAGAGCAGGAGCAGCAGCAGCAGCAGAAAAAAAAGTCGCTAAAAAATCATCCTTTTCTATGGGTTTCAGAAGTTACATTAGGCACTTTTTGGTCGCAATTTTGATGCTTTTCCGTCCTTCAGGGCCCTGCTGTTTGAGCGTGGCGGAGGCGCCGTTTCTTTGAACGGAAGGAGTAGCAAGAGCAGGAGCAGCAGCAGCAGCAGGAGGTAAAAGTAGCTAAAATCATCCTTTTCTATGGGTTTCAGACGTTACATTAGGGAGTTTTTGGTCGCAATTTTGATGCTTTTCCGTCCTTCAGGGCCCTGCTGTTTGAGCGTGGCGGAGGCGCCGTTTCTGAGCTTGGAAATTTCCATCCGGGAGCTGTCTTTTGAACAGAAGGAGTAGCACGAGCAGGAGCAGCTTAGGGAGTTTTTGGTCGCAATTTTGATGCTTTTCCGTCCTTCAGGGCCCTGCTGTTTTTGGTCGCAATTTTGATGCTTTTCCGTCCTTCAGGGCCCTGCTGTTTGAGCGTGGCGGAGGCGCCGTTTCTGAGCTTGGAAATTAGGGAGTTTTTGGTTGCAATTTTGACGCTTTTCCGTCCTTCACTGCCATGGTGTTTTCCCATCCGGGAGCTGTCTTTTGAACAGAAGGAGCAGCAAGAGCAGGAGCAGCAGCAGCAGAAGGAAAAAGTAACTAAAAAATAATCCTTTTCTATGGGTAACACACACACACAAACACACGCACACGCACACGCACACGCACACGCACACACACACACACTCACAGACGCACACCCTATAAACACCAAACTACCCCCCAGGTACCGCCCATAAGTGCCTCTATGCAAGGCCCTCCCTGTTCAGGAGTTTATAAACATATATATGT